CAGTGGACGTCTGCGGTGCGTCCCTGGCCTGCTCCGGACACTACTGCTTAAGTGGCTCATTGTCACCCCAGCGCCCAATTAGACACCTGAGCGCGATGTAGCCTTGTGGTATTGAAATTGAGGAAATTGGGCGACTTGGCTGCATTACAAGCAGAGGTTAGTTCCGCCCATTCGGACAGAAACTACTGAGTGCAGCAAAAAAAACATACATAAAGGCTTCTAGTATGTTAATAACTTATTACTAGGGACTTATCTGCCCATCTGGAAAAAAGAACGAAATTCACTCAATATTTGGAACTTTTGAGGAGCACCAACGCTTTCAAAAGAGACTTGTGAAAAGCTTTGAATTCATATAATAATTCAAGTGCAGTACCAGAAAGAATCATTCTTAAGAAGAAGGTATGCTTCCTATATACCGTTGCTGTGCGAAAATCGATAGTCAAAAAAGTATAAAAGTGTTGCCCTTTTAAAGAAAACTTTTTAAGTATTGTAGACGATTCAAAAAAACTTTCTGCTGAAGGCAACTTAGCTACTAAAAAGTCTGCATTTCAGCTCCATTCCCCGGCATTGAATTATAGCTGAATATCCATCCTTAAAAGCGCCGGTTGCAAATGTGTTACAATCCAAAAGTTTGAACTTATGGTAGTATGTGGAACACATAATAATAGCAAAACCTGTTTTTTTTAGACCAAAAAATAGAAAATATGACAATACAAACATTAGTTGTACAACAGTCCTCAGAATATTTGAAAAGGTCAATTCATATCCCGCATGTTGACTCGCTTCACACGGCTTAAGAAAATAGATTCTATGAAGAATAAAGTCCTACGTTCTCCTTACTTTGCCCCATCCTGAAAATATGCTGAGAACTTGAACTTCTCAAATTATAATCATAGCTAATCGTTCCATTTATCTTTGAGAATAAAATACGTTTGTACCATATGCACACATTTTCATTACTTTAAATTTTCCCATTTGTCCATATTTTTAATGTCCCAAGCACCCAGAGAAACTTCTGACACTGAGTTAGTTATATGCGCCTCTAGCAGAAGAATGAGGAAGAACAAGAATTAAGAACTTGATGCTGCGTAGTACTGGAGTGAAATTGTTTCGCCAATAACTATCTTAGATTTAACCGATTTAGATCAAATTTGAAATAAAGTAGATAATTGTAAATAGAAAACCTATGCAATACATGGTACTAAGCTTTAAAAGGAATGCGACTGCAATATTTCGAGAATTACATTGAAATCACCTGAACCACTATGTTATATCCAGAAAGACCCAGAAGAAGAAGAGGAGTGTAGCTGCTCGAGTGAAATTGTTTCAATAATAACTTTCGGACCGAATTTTAACGGCATTCGAAATAACATAAGTAAATCAATAATGCATCTGTCACGAGTTTGGAAGGAATGTCCGTCTTTCAAGTTGGCCAGACTTGGTTTGTAGATTTTTACAATTTTTAAGCCAATTAACTGAGTTATACGTTGCCTACATGTTTACAAACAAAAATTTGTTCAATGTACAACAGGCATTGCATACTTACAATAAAGAGTTTAAACATGGCTGAGCTTCATTATTCATTATACCTCGCTAGAAGTCGTTTTAAAAGATGAAACTGATATTAAAACAGTTCCTGTTTAATAGATTATGCCAATATCCTGATTGCGCAAAGGCAACTAGGAGTCGAATGGAAAGGGAAAACTATATAGTTTTCGAAAAGCCCAGCGGCACCTCTGATTCATACATTTTGTAGTCTTTTTGTTTGTATGTATGTATGTACATAGAAGAGTATACAATATGCAGATTATACTTAATCAAAGGCTGACATGGTTGAATGTTCCTGTAATTAATGCCAGGCTTGCATTTCGCCGGACAAAACACCGCAGACTAGAAAGTGGCCCTTATCCAGTAATGAGTATTTCTTCAGCTTTGGTTTTATTAATCTCAGATCATTTTGGTTCTACCTTCACACATACGAAGAATCATTCCTGAAATATTTGAAATGTTGCATTCATGTTGAGTAAATAGCTTAGCGATCATCGTTGGCGCTCTGTTGTTGCCAGAAAAAGCCTATAAATAGTAATCTTAAATGAGCTACAGAAGCAACACGGGCACAACAGCAAATCAAAATTTTCTAAATGGAAATGGAACAAGCACTTTCGGCAGAACTAAAAATACGATACAACTGTGTCTATATATGCCACCATAATATGATCTGCATACATACCTATACACATACATTATGGGTGTGTGTCTTATGCAGTTTTGAAGGTGAACTCTGGCACTCTGTTATATAATAATAAATATGAGTGCAGTTGAGAGCCCGCTGGCCAATGCATAGCTGGCATAAACGCACGTAAAACGCTGGCAAAACGCGCGCAAATAATTAAGTATTAGAAATGTTGAGAAATTCCTAGGAAAATGCAACAACAGAAGAGGCAGTCGAGGCAGCAGCAAAAAGTAGTTGCACACAGACGTTCCCAGCTGAGGCCAAGAGCCTGACCAGGCCAGACAAGCTGACGTGCAGTTAGAAAGACAGCCGCGCTGGAGCCTGCCGAGTTCCAAGCTTACAACTCGAGACTCGAGACCCGATGCTTGATGCTTGATGCTCGATGCTCGGGGCTCGAGCCTAGCCCCAACCAATTAGTAAGCGCTGCACAGAACGCGCTACAATTGTGAGAACCTTGGCCCGATAACGAGCACGGGGAAGCCGAGACGGGGGCAGCACATAAAAGTCGATCTTGGCGTGTGAGTATGATGAAATGTCAACTGAATCGGCAATCTGGCAGCCTGGCAACATGGCTATATGGCTATACATATGGCTACGTGGCAACATGGCAACATGAGCTCATACAGCGCCTGAGCTCAACATGCTGTCTGCAGCGCGCCTGCCTTATAGAGCATGCAACAACGTTCTATTTTGACAGTCATTATGATTAATTTAAATCATTAGCCAACGGGCGCGGGCTTAGGGAAGAAGATGAAGTAGAAGAAGAAGAAGAGGAAGGCATACGCGAGCCTAAGTTTGTTTTTTAATTAAATGCAAGCGGGAGAGCCGAAGAAGCTGGCCAACTATTCGCGGAAGAGACAAGCTGGCGACAACGACTATGAGGCTGGCGGACGACGCGGCTGAACCTGGGACTCAGCGTTGTTGTCAATGTCTGCAAAAGGCAGCATAACCATTTGTAGCTACTGGCGGACTTGCGATCCGATGGATCGATCGATCGATCGTCGCTTGTGTTGCGTCGCATGAAGAATGTGCCGCTGCCTGGCTCGATTATCAACTGGGAGCAATAACTGCAGATGCGCAGACGCAAACGCAGACGAATCTCGGCTGTGGCAGTATATCTGTATCTGTTAGTCACTGCACGTGGCCAACAGCAACAACAGCACCAGCAGCGGCAGCAGCAGCAGCAGAATTTTCTTGTGAACGGCTATTTAAGGACATGGCCGGAATGCCCGCGTCTGTGAAATATTCGTACTTGCTACTGGCCACCATCACCGCTGCACCACCCCCGCCTCCTGCCTCCACCTTGCTGTCGTGTTACGCAAATCCTCTAGAGCTTTTGCAGTGCGTGCATTGCGCATTGGCATGTTCTCTGCCCATATTGGCAGACACAGCACAGCAAAATTCCTCGCATTGCTGAAGTGTATCGGTTTTAACCTTCGTATCTGCGTTCTTACCCTGTCTTGCCATTCCATGCCGTGCCTTTTCCATTGGCTTGCCCCAATGGGCCCAACAGCGGTTTGCCTAAATTACAAATTAACTTAATCAGCGCTGATAAGCACAGAAAATGGCCGATGATAATTAACATGCGCACTCATTAAGTGCGCGCGCATTAATAAACTCAATCACGCACAAACGACTGCAGCAGCGCAACAGCAGTATCAGCAATAAAAACAACATAGACAGCGGCCAAGCCTGGGTAGGAGGAGTCTGCTCGGATACTTTGCTGATCTATGCGCAGGCGCACACGAGTCAATGAGCCAATGGGACGCAGGCAAATGGCAGACGTTTACTAATGAGCCGCCGTAAATTATGCATAAGTCAGTGAATGTGGGAGAGGGCGTGGCGCAGACTAGAGTCTGTTCCACATTATAATGTCTGTGCATAGTGTGTGTGTGTGCAATGGGTGTTGGAGTTTGATTAATTAAGCCATAAGACAAGCACACACACACACACACTCACACAGGCATACACACCAAGCTGTCTGCCAGTCACACACTTCTTATGTACGTACTGATTTTTTCGCTCTTTGCCCGATTGTTAAGAGCGGCGGCACTCCCACAGCTTGAATCACTCGCTCTTGTCTGCTGCAGTTGTTCATCGTGAGCAGCAACCGGTTCGGCCCAAGTTTGGCGGCAGCATTGACGCTGCTGTCGCTTGCCATACGCGTGCGTTGTTATTAGGTATTTGCACGCCATCTGAAGCACAACAAAGGCAACATCGATCGCAAGTTTGCTCGACCGCACTCCAAATAAACATACACACACACACATGTACACACAACTAAGCAACGGCAGCGCGTAATTTACGTCGTTTCAATTTGGTCTTAACAACAACAACAGCAACAACAACAAAAATAAAAGCATCAACTATAGACAGACAGCAACATTAAATAACTAATAAAGTCAAAAAAGACAAAAACAAGTGCAGCAGCTCAGCATAGACCATAAAAACACTACGCAAACAATTCGAACATAAAAAATGAGCAAATGCTTTAAAATATAGAACAAGCGCAACATCAGCAACAACAATAAGTGTTAACAAACATAAACTTTACATTGTTATTAAACAAAATAAATATTTTGCAACAAACGCAAATGCCCTTTAAAGAAAATTCGAATTTTCCGCCACGACTCGCACACATTATGCAACACTGCAAATAGTACTCGCGCACCCAGCCCTGGCAACGCCTGCTGACCGACCAGCGACGAGCTGTCAAACGCTGTCAGTTTTTTTTTGTTGCGCCGCGACGGATGGTGTTTGCAACAAATATTCGTGCGTGTGCGATTTGTAATACAATTTGAATTTATTGAAAACTGCGTGCAACGCATCGCGATTTGTGCGTGGGTCGTGTAAAAAGTGCAGCTAGCAGACGACGCATCGAACAGCAAAAGCGACCGACGCAGTAGAAGCGCGACGTAAAAAATAGGCACACACAAAAACAAAAAGCCCGAAAAAAAGGCAAAACGCGGCCGCGCGATTCTGTGTGTGGTGTGTGTTTTGTGTTTATTTTTGGAATAAAAAAAGCTGTCGACAAAGCGGGCGGGAAGAGTGGGAAGAGGACCACTAAGGCTAAAATCTAGCTAATAGCCACAGCCACACGAAGACGTCGACGACGACCAAGACTACGTAAATTTGTGCCGCGGCCGGATTTCGCAGCGCAACGCAGCGTCAGCGTCACTTCAAACGCAATAATAGCTGCGCGAGGTGCCTTGGATTTATACGCGTACGCAGTGCCGCCGACGCCGACTACGTCGTCAACGTGCGGCGACTTTAACGGCTCCGCGGTGGAGAACTTTTACCTCAGAATGGACCCCACGCGCGGTGACTCGCGCTATAACCTAAACTACTCCATGAGTAGTATAGGTCTGAGCCTGGCCGACCAGGCCGACATGTATGGCAATCCGGCAGTGGCCGCTCTGGGCGCACGCCCGCCCAGCGGCGGCCTACTTCAGAGCATGGGCGGCGGTGGGGGTGGTGGTTTGCCTATGCAGCGGTCAAATACAACAGCAGCAGCGGCTGCGGCGCAATGCCAGACGCTGGCCAACAGCCAGACTCATAGTCCACAGCACGTGGCAGCGGCGCAACAGCAGCAGCAACAACAACAACAACAGCAGCAGCAGCAGCAACAGTCCCGTGGCCTGAAACGTGCCGGCTCTGACTGCTATGAGGACCATCGTGCGGCTGGCTTGACGCTGCAGGGCCTGGAGAGCTGTGCCGCAGGCAGCGGCACTAGCGGTGGCGGGGGTGGTGTGGTTGACGATGGCGTCGAAGGCTACAATCCGCTGCCCAACAAGAAATCGCCGCCCGCTAATGGCAAAAAGACAAAAGGACGCGTCAAAATCAAAATGGAGTATATTGACAACAAGCTGCGTCGCTACACGACCTTCTCGAAACGCAAGACGGGCATCATGAAGAAGGTAGGTGGTACGGCTCACTGGCCCCATTTTCGTGCACCAGCTTATGTGCAATTAATAAATACTATCCACCTCTTTTCCTCCCCCTTCTATTCTACCATATGCCTCCTGTTTCATTGTGCGCTTTCTAACAATGCCAAATGTTGGCGGTGCTTTATCGTCTCGATGCCATCGTGCCCCAAGCTGCTTTGGCGGCAACTGCACACAATGTCAGCATGGGCGTAGATTCCCAGAGTGTTGGCTAGGCAAGAAACTTTCTGTCTCGGTCAATATTAAAATAAACGAGCTACAAAGATATATTCGCCTGCGTCAAAGCTATATATTCTATTATTCCCCCAAACTCATGCGCCTAGAACTGCATACCCTATTGTGTCTCTACTGTCTAAGCTTTAAAAATTATATTTTGGTCCTCTCGCGACCCACGAGTGATGCAATCAAAAATGACAAAAAATTTAGTCGGTATTAAGTTTAGTTCAAACATTTTAAATTTTTCCTACGAAAACTCCCCTCCATAATTCATATCGGTGGTGTAGTGATCTGACGGTTTCAACGTATTATATCTCGACTATCTCTACAAGAGTAAAGATTGAACCAAGTAGTCAAGTCTCGTCCTGCTAATCATAGATGTACTTATAACCTACAATCATTTGTTACAAAATAACACATCAAAATCATAAGACTACCTTACACCTTTAACATCATTTAGTTCGATTATTTTAGAAAGGCAATTTAACATTTGGACACATTTAATATTAATATGTATCTTGGCAGAGTGAGTTAACAATACACAACAGACAATGGAAATTATATCTATCTTAAAATTGATTTGATTAAATTTAATTTGATTTATAACTAAAAACTAATTTCACATTTTAAAAGTTAAAACTAAACTTTTAAAAGTTCCAGTTCCGGCGGTTCAACGTATTTTTTTTTAAGGATTAGAAAACAAATCGATTAATAGCGGTAAAACTCACCTTTTTTAGCTACGCCCATGGGTCTTCTCACTGCGTGGCGCGTTACTCTGGTCCTTTGTGACTGTGTAAGCGCGGTAGCCACGATTCGCATTTCCCTTTGTTTTCGGCTCCATAAAATGTTAATTTGCCGCCGCAATTGCATTCAAAGACAATGTCCAAGCTGCAGGCGCGTTGCGTGCTCTGGCCGCTGCCAATACGCCACTCCAAAATTGCACCAGACAATGCTTGCCCTCAGTTCTTAGCCTTTTTGTGTTGTAGCTTACTGGCATTTTCAAATGATCAATTTTCACACGCAAACTTACATAATTCATATGCGAAAGCCAAAATGTTTAACATTTTTAAATAGACTTCTCGGACTGACCCCTAAACTCTGCATTTTATCAGGCAGCAGGGAACAGCAGGCGGGCAAATCACGATCTCAGCACGATCTTGGATCTTGCACATGTGTAAAAAACACAAAAATCTTATAAAATATTTGACCCCAGAGACAAGCTCCGTCTCAGATCACTAGTGGGGGGAGTCGTAGTCAGCTTTATGCTACTTATGATAGGCACACACAGCAGATGGTGGGCGACGGGAGGCGAACGCGGGACCTCCGACCGACCACAAGGTACAAGCTTTTGTTATACATTTTCTGTTGACTTTGATGTGGTCCTCATCGTCGTCGATGTTGTCACATGCGACAGTTGACAGGCACACAATGGATGACGGCGCTACAGTCGGGAATCCTGCGAAGCTTTAATGCCAATATATTTCCAATATAGCCAAGTTATGGGCTGGCGTCTACAAATTGAGGCCATTGACCCTGCGGATGACAGCCAACCTGCCGCTTTACCCTCATATCATACTTTCCTTGCCTAATATGGGCATTTTGACTAAGGCCTGGCTGGCACCGTTAGCACCGTTGGCGTGGGCGCCGCCGAACTTACCCAAAATGGATATTTCGCCAATGCGCACAAAAAGTGAAAAGTGAGTGAGCTAATGTCAGCAGAGACTCTGAAGAAGACGATGCGATTGTAAAAAGTGATCTCATTTGTTGTTGGCCTAATTGTGTGGGCAGCTGCCGCCCCGTTGCTGGGCATGGTCTCATGATGTAGACAGGCGGGCTTAAGCACGCGTGTGCTATTGCCTAGGCGTGTCTCTGGGCATGTAAAGCGATTGTTCAACAATGGACAACCGAAAGCCCACGGCAAGCGGCACAAGGCAAAATGCAGCAGGCGCAAAATGCCGCCAAAAGGTGTTAAATTGAAATCACGAAGCGCGTCCTCAGCTCATGAGTACCGGCTGTAGGAAAGCGCAGCCTTGGCCACAAGCTTGGGAATTGTTGGTGCTGTTGTTTTGGCTGTTAAGGCTGCAGCACGGAAGCGTATTGATACGCGACGATCGGCAGATTGTGCGATAAGCCGCGCCAGCTTGGCTGCCTGGCCATCGGTAAGCATCGCCTTCGTTGGTTCGTTTGGTCGGCGCGCCTTTGGCCGATTGCAACAGCAACAATCGCGTTCTAACAAATGACTCTGGCAGGGTCTCTGGGGCTGCCTTGTCCTGTCAACGTATTGGACTGCTCGTTGTCTGCCCGCTTGACTCCCACCCTCCCTAACCACTTGTCGTGTCCTTTGTCTTTGTTCGAAATTCAAATTGACATGAATTGTTGCTGCCTAGACCAGGACCAGTGGCAATACCGACACCTACTCGCCACGGCCGTGTCAATTGTTTGCATTTACACATGTTACACATAAAATTGGAAACCAGAAATGGACAGTAGCCAGTGCCCGCCCCTCTACTGCCTGCTAGTGCCCAACAATTTCATTAATACAGTAGACGCTCGCACATCAGAAATCTCAGGCACATGGCCTTACACGATTCAACTGCTAATTTCTTTAGTTACTCGGCTACAAGAAGAACCGGGCCAGTTGACATAATATAGCCATGACCATCTGTAGGACCTCGAAAAGTATACGAATTAGAACAATGAACTGTGTATAATGAGGTCTTTGTCTGTCCTTTTGTTTATTATTCTCAATTAATTATTTTAACTAAAAAAAATTTAAATAATATTTTATACATTTTTATTTTTATATTTTTTTTTTTTTTTTGATGAAGCGAGTATTGATATATAAGAGCCCTTAACCTTTAACATTCCATTTTGGTTTTAAAATAATGTTGATAAGTGCTTAACTAAGCGATAATAATTGATAAATACCTATCTTGGATTGGAAGACAAGTAAAGACACTAATATCATCTCAAGACTTCATACAAACTTTAAATTATAGTGTATCGATATATCGTTTTAAACATAGAGAAGCGCCTGGATTATGGTGAGAATATTCAATTTATCAAGCTAATTAAGTCCAGCCACACAGGTCCATCAAGTCAGTTAATAGTGGGGTGGATAATTGTAATTCAAAAAAAAAAAAAAAAAAAAATGTATATCTTCATCTTACAATAAATTCATTTCGAATTGATTTCAACCTCACAACTCTTGCCCCAATACTTTTAGAATGATACATTACATATATTTTTAAATTGATTGTAGTTAATTGCGTTTCTCAGATCAAATAATGAATCATTTTAATACAAGTGCATTAAATATCAACGTGGAAACTAATGAAATCGTGCCGACGCACAAAAAGTTTTGAACTTACTTACTTGTATACGTACCCCTATAAGAACTTCGAATTCCAGTTAGCATTTTATGTTTGTTGTTTTATTTCTTTCGTTATTTTAGTTTCAGGAGTCATTTCTTTGTTTTCGGTAATGATAGTTTTTTAATTTTAATTTTATCTGAGATCGATATGTATATAGTAAATATATATTACAAATACGTAACGACCACTCAAGCAGTTTAACGCCTGCCAAAACAGACAGACATTACTGATTAAGTCAGCTATATATGTAAAGCGGTAGGTGTAGGAACGCAGAGGAGGGCTGTGACTTTTGCAATTAATTATCATAATGGAACATAAGCATTATGCGGATGTAACTAAAACTATAGAGTTAAAAAGTTCAATTACAAAATTTTGTGCCTAGTTCTTACTTGTATAGTCCCTGAGATCTAGGTTTTTATATTGACAGGGCGAGTAGGTGTTTTTCGGCGCGGTGTTTTTGGAACTAATCGAGATTAAACTTCTGGGAGGCAAAAAGTTATATTAAAATGGTATTGACTGATCCATTAGAAATGCCAATGCATCATCTTTTGTTGTAAGTCAATCGAACTTGAGGCACCAATTCTTTCAGTTGAAAGATTTGGCCATTTTTTATATGATTTGTCGTCATTGCATTCTCGGCCATCTTTGAACATGCCATTCATAAACTTTTGGTGCGTGCGTGCAGTTGTGGAAAATGGAGTTATAGAGAATCACTAATTGCGTGGGAGAGGGGGAGGGAAATTCCGAAACACGTTTTTTGCGTATTCACATAATGCATCTTGGCTTAACAATTTGGGGTCTCTTGCTTTTATGGTCTCCGAGATATAGATGATAATACGAACGGCGTGTGAAATAACGCATATTTGTGTATTATTTGGTGTCTCTATCTCTTGTAGTCTCTGAAATTTACGTGATTATACGGACAGACAGATAAGACTAGATCGACTCGTCTTGTCATGCTGAACAAAAATATTGTATATACTTTGTGGGGCCTGCCACGCCTCCTCCACCTCCCGCAAAACTAATATACTTTTGTACATTTCATGTACAGAGCATAATTAAGTAGTAAAGAAACATTTTTTTTTGGATTTCCTGCACCCAAAGGATATACTTGTTTAGTGGGAATGTATGTAATACATATGTATATGCAACGAACGAAAATTTGGTTATTACATCCAGTTAGTGATTATGTTTCCGTACATTATAGTAAGTTTCATAACGAAAGGTCAATTGTGAAGAAAGTTGTTGTTGCTGCTTTGACTCAATTCTGTACTGCATACATACTTGCTTAGACACGATTCTGATGTAAATGTATGCTGTTGAAAACACTTATGTACGAGGTTGTATGTATAGAATATTTTATATATATGTTTTGTGGGTTGGGTAAAAGGTATATAGGAGTTGAGCCTGCTCGACTCCAGCATTCCCTTCTTGTATCAATTAAATTATGGCACACCTTTGTCGAACCGGACCATACATCTCTTACACTTTCCGGTATCCTTTCGCTCATACCGACAGACAGACGAATATGGCTATATTATTTAAAAACTTTGCGGGATCTACCACGCCTCCGTCTGTGCGTAACACGAATTCACACTAAACTAGTTTACTTCGTACACTTTGGGTACAATCCAAAAAAAAAAAAAAAAAAAACCCCTTCCAAAGAATCTGGAGAAGATGCTTCTAATCTCATGAAACTATCTGCAATTATGTGGTCCATAAATTAACCTCTAACTTTCTTTACTGGACTCTGTTAGGGTTAAATAGTACTTACTTTATTTGAGCTCATGTACGTACTAACAGCATAATTTGATCATTTTGTGCGCGTTTTGCCGGCGAGTTATTTATTCGCGGTGTTGTCGACAGGAACGGCAGCAACAACACCCGCTGCAACAATTTACAGTAATTACGCGGTGTTGATAGGCTACCGTTGCTCGTTGGCATTAGCTGTTGAAGTCTGTGGCCGCTTGTTTGCAAGTGCTTATCGCAACATAATCGCATTGCCTAGTCTGAAATTTATGTGCCGCCTTAACAACAGACTCGACACTTAAGCGTAATCTCACTGATATATATTGCTCTTGCTTTCCACTCTTTGCAGGCCTATGAGCTTTCGACGCTGACCGGTACACAGGTAATGCTGCTGGTGGCCTCCGAGACGGGTCACGTCTACACATTTGCCACGCGCAAGCTGCAGCCGATGATCACCTCGGAGGCGGGCAAACAACTGATACAGACCTGTCTTAACTCACCGGACCCGCCCAGTGTAGGTGGCGGAGACCAGCGCATGTCTGCCACGGGCTTCGAGGAGACGGAGCTCAGTTACAACATTGCCGACGAGGACTCAAAAGTAAGACAATTAATTTATGGTCATCACGGGCACGCTCATCTGGGGCATCCGCAGGCGCCGCCCTCGCACTATAGTCTCGAGCAGAGCCTGATGCAGTCCAGCTACAGTGGGGGTCAGGCTTCGCCGCTTTCCCATGCCCAGGCATATGGGGGGCACGCACATCATGCGCATGTGCCCCATGTGCCGCCGCCACACTCGACGCATTCGCACATGTCTCATACGCATGCGCAACGTTAGGCGGGGCACTCGATATGGGACTTAGACAATATAGGTGTATCTACATATAGGGTAATTATGTTTATGTAGCACTGTTTCTTAGGCAGCATTCCAAGTTAAGCCCAATATCCACCTCGAGCCAATCGGTAGAGAGACACAAACCAACCATACCGAATTAAAAATTTGGTTGGTTCAAAGGAATTCAAAAGAAAGAAAAAATTGATTTAATCCCTGAAAATTGCCAAAGTTTATTCCTTCATAAGATAAAAGCAAACTTCATACTTCATAATAATGAGTGAGTGATAAAAAGTGGGGCTGAGACCTGAGACCTGATGATATGATTGTTTATCAAAATCCCTAATATCGCTACCCTTTCTCTTGATGTGGATACTTGAGCTTTAAGCAGATCCAAAGTGCAGCAAGTGGTTGGTGTTTGGCCGGCCACACGATCTCGCCGCTCTTTATGTTGGGTGGAGGACGTGAACCCGATTCTCTTGGGGCGCATTTGATGTCTAACTTAATATAATTTGTATATGCTAGTCATTTATAGAGCAAAACTTGTACTTTCATTTTGCAGTCTGTGCCATAGCCCAATCATACATAGAGCTCCATGCAAAGCAAAACTAGTGCCATTTAACAGCGAGTAAAATAACGAATCAAACGAATTAAACAAGCCGACCGCTAGAGACTAGAGACACCGACGCGAGTGCCTTAAACACAAACACAACAAACAAACAAACACATTAGCACAAAAACTTACAAATAGTACTACCTGGGCTGGGTAGACAGCCTAGACTGCTTATTCGATATGTAGTATCGTAGTTATTCGTTAAAATAAGTGCAATAAGTCGCATTACAAATCAACAAAAAAGGCACTGCAGGCATACAGATATAGATATGCATACTATATGCAAACATATTCAATATTCGTGCATGTCTAGTAGCAATAGAGTACTCATAGAGATTTGCTGTGCAAAGTCTACTCGTACTGAGGAGGAGAGGGGGAATAGCAAATGTTTTTTGGTAAAGGGGGCGCGCTGACGGGTTCTTCTTCTTATGATGTATCGATGAGCGTGCTCGCAGTTCTTAAGCTAATTTAGTTGCAACTCTTCTTCATTTTGTCGTTTAGCCTAATGTTAGCGCTATTTATAATTTATAGCTATATTTATATTAATTAATATGAATTAACATTGATTGACTGCATTTGCAAGCAAATGTTGAAGTTATTCTCTCGCTAATTCCCATGCTTGCTGGGAGATCGGAGATGTTCGCTAGTCATAATGGTTGAATATTCAAAGGTGGAAGACAAAACAATCAAAACCGGCCAAGAATATTCTTTGCAGAAGATAATTCATATTTCTAAATTTATTAAATAATCGATGATCAGGCCTTTTGGCAAGTTTTAAGAAAACAAAAAAGTCATTGGGATTGTTTTCGTAGGGACATGCTCGCTTCCACGAATATTCAGCAATTTCGAACTAGTTCCTGTCATACTTAAATCTCTCCAGCAAGCATACAAAAAAAAAAAAAAAAAACATTAATCATACTTTGAGTTGCCTGTTGCTTTACTAATATTTATTGTATTTAAAACTTAAAATCAAACCAAAATTACAAAGCAGCTCAAACAAAATCTCCCACAAAAATATTTGGCATGCAAGCAAGAATGCGGCTAAGCAATGTCCGCGCAATTTACTGTAATTTATTAATAAAAACGTATCTTAGTTTTTCCGCAACTAATTTATTTTAATATTTCTGTCAAACAGAAATGCAAACCAACAAATACTTATATATAAGTTAAAGCAATTTTTAATTTTGAAATACTCGTGCAATTTTGCAAGCAAGAAAAACTTGATTGGTTATAAACTTAACTACAAAAAATCAAAACTTAAGCTAAGTGCAGACATACGAATAGATATATATGTTTTAAAAAAAATCAACGTATAGTACATTATACATATTATCGCATATTATTTAGCGCAATATTAAACAAAAAATAATAAACAATGAAATGGAAAATCAGATCGCTCTGCGGCTTCGTGTCCTGCCCACAGCTGCCGAAAAAGTAGTCGATGTGGTTGTTGGTGTTGGAAGTTGTTGCAAGTTGTTTGTAGTTTTAGCTGAGGTTGTAGTTTCAAGAGCAAGGTTAAGAGCTTCGCTTAGCAAACAAACAAACACTCAGTTGGTTCGATTCGGTTCGGCTCGGCTCACTACACACATACAAAACATACATACATACTCGTAGATAGTTCATTTCAGGTTAACCTACACATGCCCACAAATTAGGCGAGTGGGTTGACATATCGAAGCATTCGCAAGCGACTGTGAATGAATATTGTATTTGTATCTGACGGTTTCATCATTGTAAAAGCTTCCGCTTGAACTAATGCGCGACTCTACTGTTGATTTGTTGAGTGCGCCCAAAACAATGCCAAATTGCACGTGGGCATTGCGGCTGTGACGTCATTGCGACACCACGACATGACGACCAGTTCATAAATCGATCAACAACAATCGGCTCGTCCAAGTCCGCTACCAACCAACCGCTACGAGTCATGCACCAACTAGTCGCTGACTTGACATGCAAATCGCCAGTGCGATGCTTTTTCAATGCCAGTTGCCAGTTGCAAGCCTACCCTCCTCTCTCTCTCTCTCTCCCTCTCTCACCTACCCACCCGCTCACTTAGTCGGTCGTTCGCGTAGGCCTCACGTTTGGCTGATGTTGTTGTCGTCGTTCTTGTTGTTGTTGTTGTTGTTGATGACGTGTGTGCGCGCCGCGCCACTCTTTCGAGCAGTGCGCATGCGCAGCTGTGGATTGTTATTTTTTTGTGTTCTACTCAATGAGTTGAGTGACTTGCCAAGCGACGACGAGTATGAATGAAAGCCACGCACACATTCAAATTCGTTAGGCCCGCTGGTGGGTGTTTTGCTTCTGCTCTCTGCTCTGACACCCACGATAAAGCACGGGTCACCGTTTTCGCAGTTGTTGTTGTTGGCCAGCTGACTTACCACTAATATACATTTTGTAGCTGTGTCCCCTCTTGGCTGCTGTAGGTCGTAGATGTTGTCGTCGCCGACGTCGCCGGGAACGCCAACTCTTGGTCGTAAGACCAAGGTTAATTGTCAGCCCGCGCCGCCGCTTTTTGCAGTGGGCTGCCACATTATATATGTGTATACACATTATGTATATTATATATTTCTATATATACAAGTATATATATATATATGCATGTATATATATTCGCCGTGCGGGTGTCTTTATATGGTTTGCCTAGTTTGGCGCGCTCACCTGCGCATCGCACGCAACGCCCACCAACAGCAACAAAATTTAAAGTCAAGAGTTCTTTTCGGTTTCAGTTTAAGCTTTTATTTTATTTGTTATGGCAAACATAATGCTCGGCTAATTGTGCCTGCGCATACGCTTCTACACTGACAGAAACGGTCAGATCTAAAACCAGCATATACGGACATGCTTGTGCAACTGATCGGTTCTACTTCCACTTATAGTTTTAGTAAAATCGGCTTTGATCTTCCTTTAAATTCGAAGTACATGTCAATAATTTGAGCAATTTTACAATAATTCTATGATTGGGATATCTGAAGCATGTTATTTGCTTGACTTACGTTGCACGTTAAAATAAAACACAAATATTCAATACAAAAAATATTTGTCCAATTAAAAATAACATTTAACTGGACACTTGGTATTTTCTTATCATAATGACTACTGCCAGGTATCTATACGCGTTTGTGATCAGAATAATTTTGTAAGAGGTCTGTCTACATTTTTGCGACAAATTTTCCTTCAGTGTAGGCAAATCACATGATTGTTGTTATTGTTGCTGCAGCAGCTTGTTGTATATCAGTTTGAGAAATTAAAAGCATTTTGCGGTTTTGCTGCTTATCGAGCAACGACGCCCCGCGCCGTCTCGCGTTCCTAACGACATTTCAATGATTTTTTTCCACTGCTGCTCCTGTTGCTATTTTGGCCGAGAGTCACCCTGGACTGGCCAATTGGCCACGTGCGCAGCTTCTGCGTGTCGCGCGCGCACTCTCTCAGACATAACACACACATACATGTGCGCGGACCCAAACGGACTTCACAAAGGGATTTCCAATGCGCCGATTACGTACGAGGGCGACCCCTGTCAGGCAGGCATTGAACATCGGGGCTGTGGCTGTCCAACCAGCCACCAACAACGCAAATGCTCGCCATGCACGTAAAGAATCTTGCGTGGCGATGCTGGCATCAGGCTGATGTATATATACGTGTATGTGTGTGTGTGTTTCTTTAAGCCGCGTTGTAAAGTTCTAACCGCATGCCGCCACAATGTCCTCTTAATTTCTTAGCTCAGCTGCGTTTGCTGCGATGATATCGTCGTCGTTGTTGTTGTTGTTGTCGTCGTCGTCGTCGTCGATGTAGGCTTCGTCGCTTTTGCTGCTCCCTCTCCATCTTCCTCAGCTCGAACTTCTTCTTTTGCTGCTGCGGCTGTCTGTGCTCGGAGCTGCGCTCGTTTTTTTAAATTCAACTGATTGTACTGTAGCTTCTGGAATTCGGCATTTCTTAAAGCATTTCGCATGCAGCACCGCGCATTGTCATCGCCATCGTCGGCAGAAACTTCTTGGACCAGCCTGCCCGCCTCCAATCTCCAGCCTTCGCTTTCGCCCTCACATTCGGCATCGGGTCTTGGCCATGTGCCGCCTTCGCAATCTGAAAAGGTTAAGAAATGACAATTTGTGAGCTTTTTCTTCGTTTTGTTTTTGTTGTGTATTGTTTTTTCTGCTGC